GAATAAAAGGTGACCCAGACTTGATGTTTCAACTTTACATTGGCTAAGTGTGTAAGAGGTATCAAATTACAGATGATCATTAATTTTTAAGAGACTTTAGAGAACTACTTCTTGAATTGTTTAAGGAAGAGACTGCAACTGAACCAACAGACAAAAGACTATGTGGTGCTAGTGTGATCTGGGATATGACACTGTTTTATCCAAGCTTCAGGACTTGCAGGAAGGTTTCTATCGGTTCTGTTGTCCCAGTCCCATTGTAGAGATGTCGACTATAACACTCTAGAAGTTTATGTACAGAAGGATCTATCTACATTTGTGTAAAATGAGAACTGTATTGTACAATGCAACTGAGGTGATGGCCAATCCACGGGCAGAATATTATTATAAGCTTCTGATGATCTTTCAACCTTCTTTCCTGACTGAGCCTAGTCCATATGACAGTCGTTCTTAGGGCCACTTGACAGTCTGAAAATTATTGTGGACGCCAAGCAGTTTTTGTTATATAGGTTATTTCTTTCAATAGTTAACATATGAATTATAACATAAATCTTTAGATTATTTATTAATTCATTTAAATAACTAGAGTAAACCTACAGCACATTAAAATAACATTATTTTCCAAAGAAATGTTTTACAATTTTGTTAATCTCTTTAATGTCTGGCTTAATAAAAGACAGTTGAATTCTCATATGTCTGTTTTCAATCTGTTGCAATTTGTTGTCTTGTTTGAAGTATATCAGGAAAATCCAATTTTTCACAGATATGTAGTTGGAAAATGAAGAAACACTTCAATAATCTTTTCAAACAATTCTGGATATTCTTCTTTAATGTGACACCATAACTCAACAAATGGTAGTTTCTTAAACCTTGTAATTGCAGTATGGAATATGAAACCATATCAGTTAACTTTTCAATATGCTACATTAAAACCCATTGGTATATTTTGCACTTTGAATGGATCCTTATGCATGATTTTAGATCATCATGCATTATTAGTCATTTGGAAACACTTGTTCACTGAGTCGTGCAGCTCTTCCAAATGTTGATACATTTCATTGTACGATATCTAAAACCACATTCATTTAAATGATCACGATCTTACTAGGAAAGACTTCAAGTACTGGGAAACTGTCAAGCTTATGGTGACAGAAACAAGTTTTCAAAATTCTAATTATTTACTTAAAAGCTCAAATTTTTCATTGGAAATAAAGATTGCTGTTTGTTTGCCTTGAAATGACAGGCTGACTTCATTCGTTAAAAGAAAAAAAAAGTGTGTGCCAAGTATCCAAGTCTGAATAACCATAGTTTGCCTGTCAGTTGTTCTTTCAAGTAAAAATATGTCATATAAAAAAGCAGGTAGTTTAGCTCACAAATCCATTACATAAATGTTTTCATTCGGGATAAACAACTGTACTTCAAATGCTGCAGAAGAGCTTTATTTGTGTCCCCCAGTTTGCCATACAGAATATTAAAAAGACATAGTCAAGAGTTAAAATTTAATAAAATAAGTATTTTTTACTGCTTCATCAAAGACATTCTTGAGTGAAACTGACATTTGGAGCAGTAAAAAATACAATAACTACTAGGATAGTTGGGTGCCACTGCTTTGAACATGCTAAGGTGCTAGCAGTTTTACCCACCATTGCTTTTGTATTATCAGTGCAAATGTCAACACAGTCAAAGAAGGCAAATTATGTCTTAGAATCAATATGAAACTAGCTTTGTCCTTGCAAATCTCCCCTGAAAGTATCTCAGAAACCCCCACGGGTCTACGAACCACAGTTTGAGGACTGCTGCCTTAAGACATAGGTTTCAACTAGTAGTTCTCCTAAACAGACTTAAATTCACTCTTGGTTTTATAGTAGTTTTCGGCTTTTTCCTCCAATTGCATATTTATGAATTTCCTGACTTAAAAGTAAATGCAGATATAAATATGTAAATATCTTGCAAACACTTGAATATGTTATACTATCCAATCCTCACGAAACATCTGTAAGTCAACTATAATTTATTCCATTTTTATATTTGAAAAAAGCCACTGATGCTCAAAGAGGTTTTGTCCTACAGCAAATAATTTGCAGAGTCTAGAATTAAATATAAGCCTGTTTGGCTAAATAATGTATGTTCTATCTAATATAGCACACTACCCAAATCTCTCAAAACACTGAAGATACTTACATATGTATGTACATATAAATAGATACAATGCCACTGGTTTTATTGGTGGCATAGTTTTTGAGAAGATAGAGTATATTGATATATGCAAAACACAGATATTTTGATGAATTTTATGAAATTCACAGAGTCCTTACAGAACTTTCCTACACAGTCAGTCAGGTCTGTCATTAATTGCCTGAATTAATGTTGTCTCTGTAACATCATTAGCACTCAGTTTCTTCTTAATGGCAATTTTAAATCAATATCCCAGTCACTGGTTCATTTGAATTTCCAATCAACCCTGTGAAATGCATGGGGGTAGATAGTGTTGCCTCAATGTACCAAAGAGAGAAGTGATTCTCATACACAAAACGCATAAGCTACAACTGCATTGTTCAAGAATACCAAGATGTTTTGTAGTGGAGCAGCAGCTTTTCAGTCTGGTTGTCTTCATACGTATGCCTCATTCTACCCTGGTCACTAGCCCTGTCCTCCCTTGGCTTCATCGGTCTTACTCTGTTACCCTTCCTCTCTGGTGTTCATCCCTTTGTTTTGCAGGGTCCTCTTCCTTCGTCCATACCTAAGACATTGGTGTTCTGCCATGTCCCATCCTAAGTCTTCTCTTCCTGGCTGCCTTACTCCTCCTCCATGCTTGCCAGACACCTGAATGTACCCTTCCAGCTCCTATCTACTCTCCTAGGAATTCCTCTTTTGACTGCCTACATGGCAGGACACCCAGATGTTACAGAGGCACCCTCAACTCAGTAAGTTAAGACAGAACTCATTACATTCCTCCTAAAACTGCTCCTCTGTGTGTTTCTCTTGGCTAGTGGCACCATCCCTGCCTTAGTGCACCAGCCAGAAAACGGAGTCAGTCTAAACTCTCTTCTCTGCATTACCCTCTATGTCCAGTCAATCACCAAGCCCTGTCTAGTGTATTTCCTAAATATCTCTAGAGCTGTCTCAACCTCCCAAATAGCATTTCTGTTGCCTTAGTTCAGACCTAATTTTTCCACTGGAAATAACCTCACTGTGATCTCTCTTCTATTTGTCTTGCACAGTGAAACCAGAGGAAACCTTCTAAAACACATCATCTGATAATACTTACAAACCTTAAAATCTTTCCTAACTTAAAACCTTTAACAGTTTCCCAATTACTCACCACCTCCAGGCAAGTTCTGGCTCCTTACACCCAGAGAGCCTTGTGTGGCTTGGCCTTGCTTATTTCACCTGCAGTCCAGCTGCACCTAGTCTCCTAGTTTCCAGGACACACCGTGTACTTTGACACTTTCCTAACCTCTTCACTTGCTTCTGTTTCTGGAATGCCCTCCCCCCTCCCACCACATGCTTGTGCTTCCTTGTCCTTCAGAACTCTACACTGAAATCTCTACCAAGAGAAGCTTCTGAAGAGGAGTTAGCTGTTTCCTTTTCCATGCTCCCATACGACCAGGATCCTGCATTTATTATAGTGCTAATCACATTTTCATTTATGCCTCTGTCTCCCTATTAGGCGGTGAGTTCCTTAAAGGCAGCACCATCACCTCTAAATCTCAGCACCTAAGACATATGTGGTACACAGCAGGGGCTTCATAAGTGTTTGTTAATGAATGACCCAGCGGTCTGCTCTAGAAGTGCAGGACTTTTCCCACCTCCATGTCTCATCTGCGAAAAATATGCTTGCACAGAGATCGGAAATGTCCTTTTTAGTGTTTAAAAATTTTATGAAACTATCTGTGACATATAAACGGTTTTATAAATCCATTTCCTGCAGTGTTTTCATGTAGGAGCCACAAAACTTTAGGAGCTACATTGGTCCACCCTCTGTGACCAGCTATTTAACAAAAAAGATCATAGTTCTTTCTTAATATGACCGGGGTAAGGCTGATTTTCATCTTATCTACCTTAATTTCATTGTGGCAATAACAGAACTAGTGTTTTCAATACTGACACTATATCTTAATAAATAATTATATATTATTAGAACTCATATAAAATCAGGTTTGCTGGAAATCAGGTTCTCAGTTGCAAAAATGAGATCACTAAATCAATCGGTACTTTTTTTTTTTTCTTGGTTTTCCTAAGCCCAGGCCAGGTTGCTAATTAGGTAACTTCTTATCATAATTACCTAGTCAGCCTTAATGGCTTCACACACACTGCTCAGTTTCACTGGTCCTGTAGGGCCGCTTTGCAATTGTTAAAACAGCTGCTGAGTTTCAAATCGGAGGAGGCTCGGTCTGCGCCGAGAGGGAAGCGCTCCCAGAGTGAAGGCTGTGATAGGCAGGCGTTCGGGTGAAAAGTGGGACATGAATGCACAGTTCGCACACTCTGCTTTCCGCCTCCAACGACCAACCTTCTGGATTTAACACGTCCCCCTCCCTGCCCCCAAATCAACCCCAGAGTTTCCCTCTATTGTGCACCCCAGTCTCCTTGACAGTGTGATGGTCCCGCGTGTGCGTCTTCTGGATTTTGCAGCTTTGTCGGGGACTCGGTGGGCCTCCTTCATTCTCCCCGAGTGGCATTGAGGTTAGGACAGCAGTATGTCCCTTGCGATGCCGCCCGCGAGGGTCCTGTTTGGGGAGCGCTGGGTCGCTGAGCAGGGTGGTGTGTGTGTGAGAGAAAGAGAGGGAGGGAGGGCTACAGGGAGAGAGAAAAGGAGGGAGAGGGTGTCTGTGTGTGAGTGTGTGTATGAGTGTGTGTGTGTGTGTGTGCGTGCGCGCGCGCTGGCGCGCAGCGGGAGGGAGAGAAGGAGGGACAGAGGGGGAGGCAACGGGCAGAGGAGGGAGGGGGCGGGCGGGCAGCGGTGAGGCGGGAGGGGTTAGGGCTGGGAGGGGAAGAGACTCCGGGCTTCAGCGGTGACACTCGGGAGCGAACACACACTCCGCGCTTCCAGCCGCGAGAGAGCGGAGCTAACTGAGCTGCGCACCCGCCACCGCCGCTGCCGCCCCGTGCGCCCGGTTCTCCCCGCACCCCGCGCGGCGCTCTAGCAAGGCGCCTGTGCGACTCGCGTCCGCCCGCGAAGCCCGCGCCAGCCCCGCGGGTCGCTGCGGCATCCTCCCGCCGCCCAGCCCCCGAACGTTCCCGGCCGTTTAAAAGGACCTCCCGCAGCTTCAAGGCTCTGCCCCGGGATTCCCCAGCCCCGCGCGGCTCCCTACTCCACTTCGCAGCAACTTCGGCGGCCGACCGCCGCCCGCCCTCGCCCGCCTTTGAAGTTTGCTGTGCAGACTGCAAAGTTGGGATACTTCAGCGGATTGAATTTTTCTCTTTTATCTGCCTCCGTCCCCGCCTTCCAGGCTTCTTGTTCCTGAATATTGGTGCTTAGCATCTTGGCAGGGTCCGGGGACGTGGACTATTTCGCACACCACACCTCGGTGAGGGATTTTTCCTCTTTTCCCTATGAAAAACAAACAGATCTTTTTAAGGTAAGTGGGGAGAGGAAAGCAATGTCCCAAAGCCCCGACGCCTTAGCCCGCCACCCCTAGACCTAGCACAAGGAGCGTTCACGCCCGAAGGGTCATCCGAGATGGGGGCTCGAGGAGCGCGCCCTCAAATCGTCAGGGCCCAATAAGCTTCTCAAGGGCGCCCTATCAGTAGGAACTGAGGGCATGAGGGACAGGAGCAGGTTTCTCTCGTTTTTGTTTTTTTGTTTTGTTTTTGTTGTTTGTTTGTAATTTAGCTGCTGTCGAAGCTGGGCGGCCCGGAGAGATGTGAGGAGGGGGACAGACAGCGCAAGGGCCGGGAAGACGTGGGACCGGGGAGCTCGGGGTGCGGTGGGGTCCGGGGAGCCGCGGAGCCTTTATCCCGGACTTATCCTGGACACTTACTTTGCCCGCCTGCCAAGAGGGCTGTTGCCTCCCTCTTCAGGTTCATGCCCTCCGCCCGCCGCTAGGGAAAGTCTGCGGGACTGTGGTTTTGCAGAGGGCGTCTGCCTGTGGGCGAAAAGCTAGAGGTCCAGGCAGCGCGCAAGTTCCTCGTGGGCGTCTGGGAGCCGCGCAGCCGGGGCCGGGAGTTCAGTTGGCCCGACCCCCAGCCGCTCTGGCTCCTCATTTGTCCTCTGCGTGGTAGGCGAGCATCGTTATAGAAACTTCCTTGAGCTGAGCGAGGTGGCCTGGGACCGGCTCATACTTTCTTCCGGGGAGCAGAGCGGCCACCGAGGTGACGCCCGCTCCGCCCCCAGCCCGGAGACTCGACTTCGTGCCCTCGTCCCGTCTGTGCGTGAGTTGGGGTTCGCTCTCACCCGCGCTACCTTTCTTCCTGAGCGGAGTCGCCGCGGCTCCGACAACCTAGGAGTCTGAACGAGTGATTCCAGGTCCCAGCTATTTTCTTGGAGGCACTTTGCAAAGTGCTCAATTTGGAGTGCGGTTTCTTGCATTGTGCGCTCTCGGTTCCCCTTTTTTCCCGCACCCTATGCCAGGCCCAGGCGTGGGAGCTCCCCGCAGTTCCCCGGACCCGCCCCGCACCAGCTTCTCGGAGTTTGCCGCGGGCACCTCTACGCTGTCTCTGAGCTGTCCCTCCGGCCAAGTCGTGGTTCCCCTCCCTTTCTTGTTCTTGGGTACGGGTGGCTCCCTAAAACCAAGACCTTGAGCGGGAAATGAACCTGAGTATATGCCTGGGTTTTGTTGTTGTTATATTTTTTCCTTCTTTTCTTTAAATTTATTTACAGAGTTCTTTTTAGCAACTTTGTTGGGTTGATAAATTTGCTTCTTATCTGTCGATCCCGCTAAATCACAAAGAAGAGTTTATTTTTTCATTTAGTTGCTGCTCTCTCCAAACGCACTACCCTCTCTTTCCCCCCTCCACCCCTCCTCCTCCTGCCTCGCTTCCTGAACCCTTTTTCTTTTCTGACGGAGGGAATCTCCGCACCTCCTCCTCTCCTCCTCCCACCCGGTCCCTGAGCGCCTGTGAGAACCAGGGGAGTCATCAATGGAAATAAATAGGACCCCGCTCCATTCTCCGCCCCCTTCAAACAAGTAAAATCCTCCCTGGGCTCGCAGAAGTAGAGATAAAACATCCCTCCCCGAGGGAGCGGTTGCGGGGGATTTGATGGGATTGAATTGTTTCATTATCTTGAAAGAAGTGATGGATGGATCCGAGAGGGAATATGTCTATAAAGCAGAGTGTGGTGAGGGCGATCGGTATGATTATTCATTATTGTTTGTTAAGAGTGATAATAAGGCCGCAACCCTCGCTCAGACTGTGTTTATATACTTGGGTTTGAGTTTATGTCAGTCTCTTATTACAGTGGTTTCAGAAAGTGAAAACATCAAAACGGTATTAATTCTTCAGTCATTCTGCATATGGGATTAATCAAATGTCAAAAAAGATACTGTCGTTTTACCAAAGTTTTAATCTATGAACTTTTAGAAGGTTGCACTGTCATAAAATGTCATTTGCCTCCATCTGTCTTCTTAAAGTTTAAAAAACTTGGCAACATAATTAATTATGGTCCCAATTCCCATTTTCAATCTAAACCTATATTCAGGATTATATTAAAATACCCCATCATTTATTCCTCAAAAGTGACTCTTATGAGTTTAAATTCTTGGAGGGGAGAGAGGGACAACTGGGAATGAGGGGCCTAGGAGTTAGAGAAATTAGTACTATTTCAGATTTCTCTAAAAATTCCTTTACTTCTTCCTTTAAAGAAAGAAATTACAAGGTCCTTCTCTGCACAGTTCATCACTTCAGTGAATGCTCTTAATCTTTACCACACACTTGAAACATAACAGCTTGCAGGCTCGTCTCCATTATTGCTTTCATTTTTGTGTCGGGACATTTTATTCATTAAACCTGTACGTCAAAGACTGCTTAGTGTGGCAGTAACACTCTGTTTTAATTAGTAACTATCATAAAAAAGAAGCTAGAACTCTGTAATATGCCTAAATTGCTATGAATTATGTGTGGTTTAAATTACGCATTTATTTCATCAGAAATGAAACCATGAATATAAAACATCTTTTAATCACTTGCAGATACAGCTTTTATCTCTTAAGATGTAACAAAATATGTAATTGAAAAATATCCTTCTAAGGATAAGAGAAGCCCCCACCCTCAGTTTATTTGTCCTGGGTCTGTTTAACATTCACATAGTAAAGTATGAATGTTAAAGAGTAAAGACTATTGTCACAACATTGCCAATATCAGGCCGATGGAATGCTACCTTGAAAATAACCACAGTGGATCAGTTGTTAACTTAATCTAGAGACACTTCCAGTTGGCTGCATGAACCTTGCTGTTTCAGATTTTAGTTTTCTCACTTGGATTTATCGACCAGAAAAAAATGTATTTTAAAACTCTTAAATTATTTGACATGAAGGGGAGAAAGGTAGAAATAAAATACTTATTTCTATAGCAGTTCTCTTCAGCCTATCTAGAGGTCAGAATTTTTATTTTAAAACTGATTGTGTTTTTATTGTCGTCGTTAGGACATATCATTTTGGTATGATGGATGAGTAGATATTGGAAATGGAATAATGATGACAGAATCAACCAAGAGCATAGAAACAGAGTGTGAATTCCACATCATATGTGCTAATTAAAATTATTTTAATCTCTTTTCCTTAGTTTCTCCATGATAAGGTGGTCAATAGTGACCAAGCAGTGCTCTCTCTCTCTCATTTTTTTGCTCCCTGCCTTCCTGTCAGGTCTTGCTTTGGGGAGCCATACACCTATAGTAGCAGCTGAACCTTGCCAGAGTCAGTCGCCATCAGCTAATCACTTGGAAGAAAGTATGTCTCATAGTCATCTGTATTGGGTCAAAGGCAGGGATACCCAATATAACCAACAAAATAGTTCAACTAATTCATTTGACCCTGAAATAATATCTAGAACCTCTAAATGTTTATTTTAGAATGATTATTCTAAAGAACATGATTTATTCTTCCCCTGTGGGCTCATAATCATTTAATAGAAGCCACAGCGTGGTTAATAGTAAATAGTAAACCATACGAAATCTTTGCTTTGAAAGCTGATTTTAAAATCAAATCCTCCAGTATGTAAATACTCTATTTTAAAATACTTTGCATTTTATTCCCTGAAGTTAGGATAAATTCTGCTGTATTTTTCCACTGTATAACAAATGTAATATTACATGACACTTAGCATGCGTGCAGTCATGCTTCCATGTTAATTTCCTCCTAGAAAAAAAGTAAATATTTTGCTGCTGTTGTTAAAAAATAATCATGTAGTATGCGACAGAAAAACAAGAATGCTAATATTTTATTGAATCACCTGGTGGGATGTTGACCATAAACTCAGTTATATTTTTGTTGAAAATCACACCATTTCAGTGTAAGTTTGTTTGCTTGGCTGTGTGTGTTTCACATATTTCTTGCCTCTTCTGAGATGACACATGGCATTTGCTGTTCCAGTGCCTAAGCCAGTGCCAAAAGCAGGTGTATCCTTGGCTACTTCCTTCCTAAACACACAACCCAAAGATGCAATATCTACATCTTTCCCATTCCTTCTGGTACTTTACTAAAAACTGCAAACCAACAAACACATGAATTTTAGTCTTTTGAAATATTTGGAAAACATGTAATGTATAATGTTAATTCCCCCAATAAAAAAAAAGTTGTGGCTTGTTTTGATTTTAAAAATTAAGGATAACAAATTTGATCAGTGTGGTATAAAAGCAAGCTAGCAAAATGTGTCTGTAGATTCTTCACTTTGGGATAAAGAGACAAATTTGGCCACAGAACAACTGGGTATTGGGCCCTATTACAATGCCAATTTTTTTCAAGGAACTCATTGAGTTAACTTTGATTTAAACTTCACTTTAAAGTCTACAAACCTCAAGTTTATGAGAAAGGTATAGAAACTTCCAATATTATATGTCATTATTCTTTCAATAATTTCCGTATCTTTTGGAAACTGATTTTAGTAAGTTAGTTAATAGGTCTTGGATTTCAATTGTTATTTTTTTCTGTAGCAAATTTGAACATGACACAATTAATATTTTATATATTTCTCTGAAGTATTTATTTTTAGCTTCACTTATGAAATCTCTGAAATGAATCTTTTCTTTAAAAAAATATGGCTAGAGGTAGTAGCATAAATATAATTTATCAAATGTCTCTTTCAATTCTTCTTTTAAAATAATTTTCTGTCTTTTTTATAGTTAAAAGAAAAACATTTTTAGGAATAATGGTAAGATTGTATAAAGTTTAGAGGGTACTCAATAAAAATATGATTACACATGATTGGGAATCAACTCATTTGAGTAGGACTCTTAGACACTGCCTCCGTAGTGTGGAGACTTAAATATAAAAACCAAATTATAAAAACAGTTCACAACATGCATGCACGTTTGCTTTCTAATTGGAATGATTTCAGCTAATATCACAAATAGTGGTGACCAGCTGAAGTAAATGGAGACTGTACAAGTTTCTGTCAGTGTTTCTTCTCTCTAAGAGGAAATCAA